TATACCTTTAATCCCATCACTCCTGGAGGTGGAGACAGGATCTCTGGTGAGATACAGGCCAGCCTAGTCTACCCAGTTCCAAGTCAACTAGGGCTACAGGGAGACTCTGTCTCAAGATCAAGCAAACAAAAACCAAATAAACAGAAGCTACTATCCAAAGCTTGATATTGCTTTACATTGCAAGATACTTTATTTTCTTAGTAAATTAAGTAGAGGAATTTCTAACTGAACAATTGAACTCTTACGTCTCTCCTTTCAGTTGATAAATTGAGCTTTGAAGTTAGAATGTGTAGTTCTCAGGTATGAGAACAATCCAGTAATTCAGCTCTTATTCCCGTCCTTGTTGGTTTCCAGGCAGCATTAGATGCCTTTCCCTACAGTGTAGTTTGCCTTAGCTGTTTTCCTCTTGAAGTTGTGATTTTGTTTTATTCGGAGTTAATTTTCCATAAGGATGCTTTTACAAGTTTTTGTATTTTGAGATATTTAAAAAAGATTTACATTAGGATTAGTCTTGATTTGATGATTAGCATTCAGACGTTTCCTGTTTCTTCTTGTAGTCTAAGTAGTGGTTTCCATGCGCTGAGGCGAAAAAGAGGAAACTGTCAGAGGTTCTCAAACAAGCAGTTTCTATTCCTTGTGTGGTTGCCTTTGCCTTTGTGTCTGCAGTGGGCCATGGGCACCTTAGTCTTACAGATTTCATTCATATGTCCTTTGTAGTTTAGAGAGATTTGTGCTATCAGGTATCTTGCCTGTGTCCTAGTCTTGTGTCCATTCAGTTTTTTTTTAACTTTTAAACTTTAGTTATTTATTGTGTATGGGTGTTTGTCTGTATGTATGTACTATGTATGTATGTGCACTGTTTGTGTGCCTGGTGCCCAAAGAAGGTGTTGGATCCCCTGAACTGGAGTAAATAGACAGTTGTGAGTCACTATGTAGATGCTGGGAACCAAGCTTGGGTTCTCTGTAAGAGCAGCAAGTGCTCTTAACCTGAGTCACCTCTCCAGCCTCCAGTTTCTCAGTAATAATATATAGTTTAAAAAATAGGACCCTGAGGGGCTGGAGAGATAGCTCAATGGTTAAGAACACTGACTGTTCTTGCAGAAGATCTGGGTTCGAATCCCAGCACCCACATGGCAGCTAACAACTGTCCGTAACTCCAGTCCCAGGGGAATCCGACAGTCTCTTCTGTCCTCTGTGGGCATGTATGACATGGGTGTACTTACCTGCATGCAGGCATAACACTCATACACACAAAATAAAAATAATTTTAAAATTAAAAAAAAATAGGACCCTGAGAGTATTTGGTATATCCCAGTAAGAGATATTTATAAATTTACCATAGTGTCAGTCTTTAAGTCTATGGGTCAAAAGTAAATGAATTTATTGATGATCTTTGACAACTGGGATATTTAGCTATCTGTGCTGTTATTAAGAGAGAGTGTTATCTTGTCAGTTCAAACTTAATTCTGTTTCTTTTTCATCCCTATAGAACTGTTCAGGAGACCACCTTTGATTTAGGAGGAGATATTCACAGTGGAACAGCATTACCGACAAGCAGGGTAGGTACTTACGTGTCTGTGACCTGATGTACCTGTGGGTTTGTGTTATAGGACACCATGGGAAGAAGCTCCTTTGTAAAGACTGACTTCTCGGTTGCCTCTCCCTGTGAGGTACCCCTTTTTTAAAGCTACCCCTTTTAGGCTTTAATATGTGCTCAATTGTATTACATTCTGGGTGTGTAAACAAGTCCAACATAAACCAGGTGTGGTGAAATTACACTTGTAATTTTAGCACTTGGGAGAGACTAAGGCAGAAAGATAGTAAGTTTGTGGCCAACCTGGGCTGCATAGTGAGACCCTAACTCAAGCAAAAAAACCAGAACAAAACAAACCCCAACCCCAGTCCAAAGTGACTTTATACATGACTTTGGTGCTATCAGATTGTGACCTTTGACCATCAGCACTCAGAGCATAATAACAACACATGACAGTGCTCACCAGACTAGATTAGTTAAGGAAATAAATATCGAATCTGGAATCCATCTATCATCAGATGTCCCTAAAATCCCAACCTGTTGTCTTGCAGAAACTTAATTATAATTTAGCCTTTAGTCAAATCCTTAACTGTTCAAAAGTTAACCTTTTCAGTTGGGTCTGGTGGCATATACCTTTAATCCCATCACTCCTGGAGGCTTCTCTATCCACAGACCTTTCTGCACTACTTCCTACTGTTATTTCATGGGCAGTTTCTTGTGTTATTACCATTTAACGATAATTCTTTAGTGTATAAGCACATAACCATATCCTAATTTATTTTTCCCTTGCCTTTACTAGCCATTCATAAGTTTTGTTTGTTTCTTTGTTTGTTTGTTTGTTGTCTAAATAGTGCCATCCATTGACCGGTTTTATTTCCATGAATGTAATATAAGGAAGTACTGTTCGTAAGTGTGTACATGAACATACGCGGTTGACACAAGCATTCTTTGTACTGATGAACATTTTAGTCAACATAATGGAACGTTGCCTTCATGAACTACCATGAACAGACCACAAGATATTATAGCCATTCTAATTCTGTAATATAAAAATAAGTGATGGGAGTTAATGACAAAATGAAAAAGTGTTTTTGTTTGCTTTTAAGGTCTCACTGTAGCCTTGCCTCAGTCTCCTGAGTGTTGGTTATAGGCATGTAATTTTATAGAGTAGGTTATAGAAATCTGTTCATAGGAACAGCTGTTAATGTCTAGGTGGTGTATGTACTTGTTTTTATGTGTTTTTATAGCACATATACAATGAATTCTACATGAGATTTGCTTTTGTTCAGATCTGTAAAAATTTTTAATGTTGGGGCTGGAGAGATGGCTCAGTGGTTAAGAACACTGGTTGTTTTTGCAGAAGACCCAGGTTTGAATCCCAGCACCCACATGGCAGCTAACAACTGTCCGTAACTCCAGTTCCAGGGGATCTGACAGCCTCTTCTGTCCTCTGCGGGCATTGCACGACACAGGTGCACTTACCTACATGCAGGCAATGCATGCATACACATAAAATAATATAAAATAAAAATTTTAATGTTTGAGTTTTTTTAATAGAGGTGACTCTTCTGCCTACCTTACAAATGACTAGGAATGTGCATTGTTTAAAGTATTTACATGTATTCCAGTAAATCTGGATTTTTCCTTTGTGTTGAGCTTTAAGGGCAAGAAGCCAGTTTCTGTACTGAATTCATTGTGCATTAATTTATGAGTAGGAATTCAGTTGTTTTACAATTTCTTTAGGTTAGGGTACAAAGTAGTGGGGTTCATCATGACATTGTTACACGTGTGTATCGTCATGTCATTTTGTTCTACCCTTGCTGTCCCTTGTGCCCCCCCAGCTGATTGCTTTTCTGCTTTTTATTGACCTGTATTCCACTCCTGTTTCCTGCCTCCTCTAAGATCTCTTCATCACCCTTGATGATCCCATTTATTGTTTCATGACCTATAAACGTGTATGTTAGTACATGCATATATTACATGTGTATATGTAGTTACATATATTTATATATACACGTGTATATATAAAAGTTAAATTTAGTTTCCACATCTGTGAACAAACATGCAGTATTTGTCTTTCTGAGTTTGGCTTATTTTGCTTTACATAATGACTGAGTCTGTTTGCAGCACTGATACACACAGGCCTCCAGTCTTCATCTCTTCCTCTTAGCTCTTTTCTTGAGTTCTAAAGGACTTTGGGAGGTAAAACCACTACTGTTCTTTAAAAGTCATTATGTATAGTTTTGTTGCTCAAGCTAACTCCTTGCTCTTTGAAAATCAAAGTGGCTGTGTGTTTCATACTGTTGCCATGGCCTTTTGGGTAAGACACTGTAGACTCAGTGTCCTAACTGTTTGTGAATTATTGTTGGTCTGTATGTGCCCTCACTTTCCCTGCCTGGCAGCCCTGTGTTAGATGGCTGCCCAAGTGCTAAGTGTAAAGCTTGGTTGCCTGGCCTGCACTCTTAACATGTTGTGGCTTTCCTTGGTACAGAGCACTACTAGACTGGACAGTGACAGGGTGTCCTCTGCCTCTAGCACAGCTGAGCGAGGGATGGTGAAGCCGATGATCCGACTGGACCAGGAACAGGACTACCGTCGAAGAGAGAGCAGGTAGCTTTGACTGACTGTGGGAGGAGTGGACCCGCCTGCAGAAGGCTTTGGGGTAAAGATTGCTGAGTTTACAGAGATTTAGCTAGCAGAGTTAGAAAGTTCACAGTGCTTTTATGAGTATTTCCTTTCTTTGAAAAAAAAAAAAAAAGCTTATTTAATAATTGCATTCCTTGCATGCCATGGTCTAGCCACACTGACATAGGCACATTGAATTACAGCTCTGAACAACATATAGAAAAAAGGGAGTTTTTATAGCATCTTAACATGTGATCATTTTTACACAGGAAATGAGTTACTGCACCCATTTAAAAATATATAAAGCCCCAGTGACTTTGGAGAGATACATCCCACCCCAGACTCTGATGTCGTGTGTCCCCCTGTTGAGATACATGAAGGGTGAAGTGTTGTTTTCTTCTGACATTGTTGCCTAGTTTCTTATGACTCAGAACTGCTTTCTCTTTTTTTTTTTTTTTTTTTCATTTTTAATGTTTCCTTAATCAGGATTCATTGTCTTGTGATCTCTGAAATCGTTTGAAGTGCTGTAGCAGGCCATGTCCAAGTGCTGACTGGTGAGAGCCACTAGTACTTGGAGCCTTAGGACCCTAGGTGTCACAGATGGAGAGGACAAAACACCCAGTGACCTGTGCATGCTCCTGTTGTTGGCAGGGGTCAGAACACTGACCAGTTGCAGGGCTTTGAAGAAGCCATTATTTCCCTCAGAGGGATCCAGAGCAGGTGATTGGCAGATGATACTGACCTGCCTAGGGTTAAAAGTCAACTGTCATTCAGACATAGGCCTTAAGAAGTCATTTGTTAGTTTCTCATCCTCCAGCAGAGGGCACCGCATAGCACAAGATTTTAATAAGCTCAGTCCAATAATGGAATATGTAGTTATCAGCAGATGCCAAGTTTTCATTTTTATAACGGGTTTTTGGCTGTCAGACACAAGATTTTTGGTGGCTATCTGAGTTTTACTGGATGTCATAAAAGGTAGTTTACTTTTTGTATTTGCATTTGTTTTTGCTGTTATAGAGCATGATGAATCAGTATTGTAATGAGCACAGCCATGTATGTGTCTATACAGGAACGGAGAAGTGTGGCTGAGTATGACTCCAGATGGGAAGAGGAGAGATGAGACGTGGGAAATTAGTAAATACGTGTGGCTTATAGTGTGTTCTTGTTATAACAAAATAGCCATGTGTAGGCTAACTAAAAATTATTTTCTTTAAGAACATTTTGATTAATTTTTTGCAAGGCAAGTTTTTTTTTGGAAATACTACAGGTTTTATTTGTACTGTAAGCTTTGTTAATATTAAGAGAAAATGGAAACGTAAACTTTTCTTTGTATTCCTAATGTGGTTTACACATTTCCAATGTTGGAATAAGCAATGCTTAAATTGGTGCAATCATAAAATCTGAGTCACTTCAATAGGTAGATTTAAAATGCTAATTTTAGGCAAATAAAATCCTGTTGAGTGGTGGGGGTAATTTTTTTTTTGTCACTGACAGTTTTTTCCTTTTTCTAGTCAATATAATCTCTTTACTAAATTTGTGAAAACATTCAAATAATTTGTAAAGTTTATCCAGGTTAACTTAAAAATGTTAACTGTCTATGTGCAGTTTTAGATGTCTATAAATGTAGTAGTATAAAATCCATACTAAAATAATTGCATATTTAAATTATATTCTTTTTGTAAGTGCATCTTTGTTTTTCTGAATTATGGAGTTAAGCTCAAATCATTATAGATAGGAAAAGTAAATTTTGAAGAATGTAATTTAATGGAAAGTTTTGATTTTAAAATCATAATGATTTGTGTTAACTTATGGTGGTGTTTTGTTTTGGATTATTTGTGTTTCCTTTGTGTGTGTATGCATGTGTGTTATGTGGGCTGGGATCCAGACTCTGGTCCTCATGATTGCGGAGCAGTCTCTTCTAACTGTTGAGCCATCTCTCCAGCCTCTCGCATTCTTTTTACTCATCCTTCCATGCTTGGGAGACATGAGGACCGGGAGAAGGGAACTGTTTGCTATTGGAAGAGAATTGTTCCCGTTAGCTGGTTTGTAAACTATTAGAAATCTATCCCTTGTTTATTTCTGAGCAAATGGATTACTGGCATTACCTTACTCAGTGAGTGGACCGATGGTCTTATGTGCGTGCTGCTGGCAGTCAGTCTGTCGCCCCTGTCTGTAGTGAGTGGACTGAAGCGCTAACGGCAGTGCTCTTACTTTTAAGCCACTAGCAAGGAGTTTTGACCCTTATGTAGATTTTCCATTTCATCAGCTCCAAGGCTTTTTAAAATACACTCTGACCTCGGTTTGAGTCAACATTTAACTTAATGTTTCCAATCCACTGTAAGTCATTGTACTTCACAATGCTCTGTTTTCACTTAACTTTACGGAAAGGGAGAACCTGGGTTTTTGGGGTCAGTTTTCTAACTTTTTTGAAGACAGTTAAGACTTATTTCTAATCATCTCCTTTAAACTTTAAAGTGATAAAGATAGGTCCTCCTTGAAATGTTAAGGAAGCTAATCACTGCCTTTTTGGTAATTATAGTCAGTAGCAAACTGACTTAGAATAATAATGACCCCAATCTTAATACCAAATCTAAAGGGTGTTCACACTGATTGTTAGTGTGAAGATAAAAAGGGGCACTGGATTTGTAATTATGTATCTTACACATTTTAGTATTCAAGTGACTACAAATAGGAAAAAGCAGAGTGGGATGGGGGATCCCAGGCTGGGACACATAACAGCCACGCCCTCCTCAACAGAACAAGGGGAGAAAGGTGGCTCCTCACCCTTTCTGACCAAGATCAGGGTGGACTCACTTCCTCACTCTGTGGCAATATCCAAGGGGCAGTGACCAACCTTCCCTAGGGTGGGGTGGTCAGTAACCCAGCCTGCTGCCCTCTAGCACCCTTTCCCCTAGAATGTCTTGGGGGAAGGGAATTCAGACAGAATGAAGGGGATGGGGATGAGCATTTGACTTGGTAGAAGCGGCAGTGGTGGGTGTCTAAGAACGAATGTTGGACAAAGATAACATAACTGTTCAAAGGTACTTTGTGAACAGACACAAAGGTGGACCCAGAACCTTGTGGGGTGGAGAAGAACAGGAGCCGGGCAAGGCTAGCCCTGCATTAGTGTCCACTGAAGGAAGGGACACAGAGAAGTGGGGAGGTGGGTGAGTACCCCACCTACCTTTGGTAGCACGGGGAACAGGGCCTTTTCCAGGTAGGTGACTCCATCTGTCACTGCACTAGGTACCAGATCTCAAGTGAGGGCAAGGTAGGTAGGGCCCCAGCACCTGTTCTTCCTATAGCCCAAGGGGCTCCCCCAGCCTAGTGCAGGAACTAGGTAAGATGGCTGAGAACCCCCTTCTGACAGTGTGGTTGGTAGCCAGAGAGGAATGCAGCAGGATAGGCTGCAGCTACATGGGACCTTAGCTATGTCGAGAGAAGGCAAGTGTGCATGTGGGAAGGAGGGTGTGGGGACTGAAATCTGCTCCCCACGCAGGGCAGTGCTGCAGAGCCTGCAGTGGTGAGTGGTGAGTGATGAAGGCAAGAGGGGCCCCGGAGCTGAGACACCAGGGAGTAGGCTGCACTCAAGTTGCAGCCCCTGTGAGGATGCTTGCAAGGTGCCCCCCCTCCTGCTCCTCCTCTTCCCCCTCCTCCTTCTCCTCCTTCTGCTCCTCCTGCTCCTCCTCCTCTTCCCATTCCTCCCCCTCCTCTTCCCCCTCCCCCTCCTCCCCCTCCTCCTCTGTCTGCTGCTTGGTTTCTTCCCTGGAGCTGGGGTTGCTTTCTGGGTCTTGGTGGCACTCTTAGTTTCGCCCCCCTTTGGTTGACCTGAGGTCTCTTCTATGTTGCTACTTCTTCAGGCACCTTTTGACTCCCTACCAATGCTTTTCTGAGACTCCCAGAGACTGCCTGTGTAGCCGGCTCTGGCCTTGCTTCCCAGTCTACTCTTTTCCTGCTTGGAGGCCAAGGCTGCCTGGGCTTTGAGCGACTCTCTTATCTTCCTTCTCTACAGAGCAGTGAAGACTGTTGGCATTCCTGACCTCCACCAGCCCACCTGCCTGCAGGGTGTACTCAGGGTTGCCAGAAGTAAAACTGCTAGACACCAAGGACTGGCTCTGCCTCTGCTGCTGGTAGCAGACGTAGATGCAGATGCCTTCTTGGAGTGGTGCCAGCACCAGATATAGTCTGACTAGGAAGCCCAGATAGAGAACTCAAATATTTTTTGATCACTGTTAGCATGAGGTTGGTTCAGCCTGTTGGATACGTGCGTATATGTATATAGATTCACAATTAGAAGAGGAGATTGGCAAGGGAGTGTTGGCCCTTCTTCCCTAGCCACCCGAGTGGTGATTTCATTGTTTGAAGAACTTTGTTCTACTAACAGAGATGGAAATGCTAGCCTTTGAACCCCTTTATTCCCAAATACCTGGAAACAGATGAGTGCTTAGCTAGCTCGTAGAAGTTCTTCAGATTACTTATGTTGTTTAATACTTCCTTATTTGTGTGGTGTCAGGCTAAGTGGTGGGAAGTACCTGAAATTTATGCGACCTTAAGGAAAAATGATAGAATGATTTTTTAAAAGGTATTCTTTACTGTGAGCTTTGAAAAAGAAATACTGTATGACTAAAAGAAACTTCATAGGTCAGCTTACTTAGACCTATGTCTATAAAGAAAAGAAATGATGCCCAGCTCTTCAGAAATGCTTTCTTCTATGTATAAAAACTCAGTTTCTAGCTCACCATGGTTTAGCGTCTCTGATACCTCTCAGTAGTGTCTTTCACTGTCACCTGAGCTGTGGCTTAGCAGGTGCAGGACAGCAGGATCCTTGTCCCAGACAGGCAGCGCTCATTCATAATCCAGAGTCCTGTGTCAACTCCACTCTCCTGGTGGAAGTCTATCCTTCAAGGAATCAGCCTTCTGCCCATTCATCTGAATGTTTGAGTAGGTTATAAAGGAGGCTAGAGACTATGCTGTTGAGTATGTTGTATTTGAAAACTGTATGGAAAGAAACCTAGTTACAGAAATGTGCATAGGTTGTTAGTGATACTGTTAGCATTGGCCTTATTTTAAGGCAGTTTAAGTCATGTCAGCTTTTTTCTTTTAGAGCCCAGGATGCTGCTGGGCCTGAACTGATCCTGCCTGCGAGCATTGAATTCAGGGAAAGTTGTGAGTAATTTTGGATTCTGCTATTGTGAATGAATTTTTGTTCCATTCTCCTCCAGATGACTTTTGTGTTTTGTTCATTTTTTTTCTTTTCTATAACTTTTTCAACAGCCGAAGATTCATTTTTATCTGCCATTATAAATTATACCAATAGCTCTACAGTCCATTTTAAGTTGTCACCTACATATGTACTATACATGGCATGCCGGTATGTATTGTCCAGCCAGCACAGGCCCGACATCAGTCCTACAGAGCGCACCCACAAGGCCATTGCTGTCGTCAACAAGATGGTGAGCATGATGGAAGGGGTCATTCAGGTGAGTGCTAGCCCGACAAGCCTGCTGGGGGCCATTGTGGATACCTTGTCAGTTTCTGTAACACTTCTGATCTGGTTACATTCGCCTCTAGCTTGAGATGCTTTTTCTAAAATAAAGTGTATAGGGTATGCATAGCTTTAAAAGTTGAAAGAAAATATAAACCTTTTCTGTTTCTGAAAATTTTAGAGTAAATGAAGATAAACTGTATGTGATGGTGGAATAATTATGAGAAAGACCTGAGAAATTGCAATGCTAGCTATGAGAAAGTAAAATTTTCCTTCGGCTGTTGAAATAAAATTCACAGGATATGAAGTCAGCTGCACTTTCAGTGTTAGCAGCTTCATGGCATTTACTGCCACAGTGTTGTGCAGCTTCTACCTCCAGAATGTTCTGTGGTGCCAAAGCGCAGCACGTCTTCCCTTCCCGAGCCCTGCTCCTGCTGTCCATGCCCTTAGGTATTTCTGTGTATGGGGGGCACTTACTCCTCTCTCATGGGCCTGCTGTGATGTCAGGAGCATGTTTTGGACAGCATGTGTATAGGAATGATGGCGTTTATGACAAACTTATTACTTAGAGTAATTACTTAGGTTGAAATTTGTTCATAAACCTGTTAGAGGTTTTCTGTCGATAGAATGTTTGGTTCCTTTAACTGTGTCAGTCCTGAGGTGACAACACTAGCACAGCTGGTTTTCATATTTGCAGATAATTTGAAGATTTAATTGTAAAGGTTATTTATTATAAGTAAATTTACAGATTTTAAAAAGTTTTCTTAACTTCTAAATGCTTTTACTCAGCTAAGAAATTAGTAGTGCAGTGCTAAATGCTCCGATTAAATGGTTTGGTGATATATTTATTAATTTACTCTTGATATTTTAAGGGAAACCAAAATGATCTTTTAATTCTTTCAAAATTGTTTTAAAGGTGGTAGTGCTGGGCGTGTCCCTGGCCTCTGGGCGTTCCCAGCCAGTGCCCTGTTTAAAAAAAAATTGTTTTAAAAAGCCAAAAGTTTTCCACAAATGTTTCTTTTGCACTTGAGTGAGTACAAGGAACAGATAAGGGTGAAGTTCATTTTATCTGGAGACTCTTGTTCCTCTGGTCCCATCGCTCTGTGGACAAACATGAACGTCCTTCTCCCTTGTCATCCAGTCATTGTCTGTCTTCTGCCTGTGTGCACCTGTCAAACCTCTCAAACTGTGGCGCTCCTGCCACCAGGCTGCCATTGAGAGCTTGTCTTTGCTGTTGTCTGCTAGTGAGGGCCATTCCCACTGCCCAGAGACGGCCTTCGAACTTCAGAGTAGGGTTAGTATGCAACTGGAGGACTGTTTCAGTATGGGGAAGAGTTAGGGCAGCAAGTAATTGAAATTCTACTTAAAAAAAAAAACAAAAAACAGTGGATTCCCTGCAGTATAGATATGAGTTACATGCATTTTTAAAGTGCTCAGCTTTTAATTTGATTGTTTCTGTTGATTTTTTTCCTTTCTCATTCTGATAATTAGTTTAGAGGAATGGACTCCTTTGCATTTAAGAAGTCAGCTCACAGAGCCATTAACGAATTGTTTGGAAGTCCTTCCTTTGCAGATCTTTTTAAGAAATCAGTATGCTCATTTGTGTTTTGTTATGACCACCTTTATAAAAACTCAGTTCCTGTGCCAGTGTTAAGAACATGAAGCTAATCTTTTATGTTATACTTTCAGAAGGTGCTTTAGAACCAAAGAGGAAAAGATAATGTGGAAATAACGTAACTGAATGTTGTACCTCATGTCGTACCTTCACGTTAGTGTTTTGGTTTTAAACGATCATGATTGTTTACAAGTTTCTTTCTCTCGTTCTGCTTGATTTCCCCTCGTCCGTTTTTCTCCAGGAAGTAGACCAGGTTGACCAGGTAGGACATGCTGCTGGGAGCTGATCCTAGCTGTGTTGGCTTAGCTGAGTTTCTCATGCTGCTTCCATGTCAAATATGAGCCTACAAACACTGGACTGAGCAGTTCATAACACTCATTCAGCAACTGAAACACGCAGTACTAAAATCCTTTTTGACTGTGCAACTTTTACCAGCATTTCATAATTTCTGCTTAATGCACTTCAGTGTGGATATGAAATGACAAATGTTCTGTTTCTTCTCTATTATTCATCCTTGGTTCCTATTCTTTGGATCTCATCTGAGGTTGCCTGGCCTGCAAATGTGGTCGGGAGAGGACGTGATAGATCAGTACTTGATACTGAGTTGCATGGTGTCCAAGCCAGTGACTACAAGTATCAGGGTGGCTGTGGGTAACCATGGATACATGTGTGGGGGTAACCATGGATACATGTGTGTGCTACACAGATTACCAGATAATGCACAATCTGCAATTTGGTTTGATAATGTATGATATCTTCATTTTTCTATTGATTCTGCAAATTTTAGCCAATTAGACTAAAGTGTTTGTATACACGAATCCTAAGAAGCAGTTGCAGTGGTCATCTGCTTCCTGTTGCTCTGTGTACCTAAATTCCTTCATAAGTATCTGGTATCTGTGATAAATACTTGGTGAGGACGGGAAGGTACTGGTCTAGCTTCAGCTTTTCAGGAGCATTCCTGTTTAATTCTGTTTGTTTGCTTGTCATGTGTTTATGGAAATGTTTTCTGTCTACAGAAACAAAAGAACATTGCAGGGGCGCTTGCCTTCTGGATGGCAAATGCATCTGAGCTTCTCAACTTCATCAAGCAGGACCGAGACCTAAGTCGGATCACATTGGATGCTCAGGATGTGTTAGCGCACCTAGTTCAAATGGCATTTAAGTAAGAAGCATACTCTGTAAAGAATTAAGCTATGTTTCACATTCAGTTTTCAGAATGGATGTTAGAGGTTTTCACTTTCCTTGATGCCTACCAAGAAGCACAGCAGAGTGCAGTGACTAACATTGCCTTCCACGGACTCTGCTTCAAGAGGCTCAGAGTACAGCTTTTGTTATTTTTAGTGGAAAATATTTCTGAAGAATACCTATAGTCTTTATGACAACAAGTCTGACACTCTCCATGCTCCTTACTGAGGTAATTAAAAATGTTTGCATATTTTCAGGTACTTGGTTCACTGTCTGCAGTCAGAACTTAATAACTACATGCCAGCCTTTCTGGATGATCCTGAGGAGAACAGTCTGCAAAGACCAAAAATAGGTGAAGATCTTCTTTGTGCCCCCCGACAATTTAATTTTATCTTAGTGTTGACCATATATAAAGGATGTGTTTCTTAAATAACCTTTAAATAAATACAAAGAAAAAAGTTGACATCACTTAAATAATCTGCTCACTTTTGGTATGCCTTTAAATAAATACAAAGAAAAAAGTTGACATCACTTAAATAATCTGCTCACTTTTGGTATGCCTTTAAATAAATACAAAGAAAAAAGTTGACATCACTTAAATAATCTGCTCACTTTTGGTATGCCACGTTGGTCATACTTTTTAAAAACAGTCTTTCAGGTAAACATACATGTGAATTATGTTTAGTTAGTACCTGTGTTTAAGACTACACCACTGTCTCCTCTTTGAGATTAGCACTTTTAAGTGATTTGACAGGAGTTATTAATTGCCATATCTATGACTCTCTAAAGCTGCTCAGACTCAGAAGGTTCTAAGGTGACGTTTGGTCCTTGTCTTTCCATCCTGTGTTCTGGACAGATGATGTGCTGCACACACTCACAGGAGCCATGTCCTTGCTGCGGCGCTGCAGAGTCAATGCTGCCCTGACCATCCAGCTGTTCTCCCAGCTTTTCCACTTTATCAACATGTGGCTGTTCAACAGACTGGTGACCGACCCAGACTCAGGGCTCTGCTCCCACTACTGGGGAGCGATTATCCGCCAGCAGCTGGGGCATATTGAAGCATGGGCAGAGAAGCAGGGGCTAGAGCTGGCAGCTGACTGTCACTTGAGTAGGATTGTTCAGGTGCGTTCTGCCCCCCCCCCCCCCCCCCCCCCCCCCGGCTCCCCTTCCCTGTCCACATGTTCTGTGGTAAATGTAAGATTTTTATGATGGGCAGAACCTGGGGTGTGATGAAGCCTCGACACCTTCTTCTTGGCCTTTTTTATGTGTGTGTCACACGGTGATATGGCAGCATCTGGACTGTAACAAACCACCCAAAACCAAGTGGCTTAATTAACAGACGTTTATTGTCTCAGTTTTGGAGACTTAGAGGTCAAAACCAAGGTCCTAGCAGGGTGAGTACCTTCTGAATTGGGTGAGGGTGAGTCTGCTCACCTACCTCTTTGGTGGTTTATAGGTGACTGGCATTCCTTAGCCTGTCGAGTCTTCCCAGTGTTTGCTACAGTCTTCACATGGCACGCTTCTTGGATGCGTGTCTGTCCAAGTGTCTGGTTTGTACAAGGGTACCAGTCAGGCTGTACCTACTGACCCTCTTTTAGCTAAATTACCTCTGTCTGGACCATATCTAAACGAGGTTGCTTTTCTGTGAGAGGCTAGACCTCTAACATCAGAATTTCAAGGGACATTGATAACCTCATAACCCCATAACTGGGTAAATAGTAGAATAGAAATATCATTAAAGGAGCTGGAGAGATGACTCAACGGTTAAGAGCACTGGCTACTCTTGCAGAGGACCTGGGTTCGGTTCCCAGCACTCACATGGTGACTAAGAACATGGGTGGACTTATATGCAGGCAATACACTTGTACACATAAAATAAACTAATAAATAAACTATAAAAATATCATTAAAGAATTGTTTTTGTTGAGATCAAAGTATGTTTTAGAAAGCCATATGCTGAAGAATAAATGCCAATTTAAACATGAGCAATAGGTCTGGAGAGAATGCTCAGCAGTTAAGAGCACTGGCTGCTCTTCCAAAGGACCTGGGTTCAGTCCTCAGCATCCACATGGCAGCTAACAGCCATTCCTAACTCCAGTTCCAGGGGATCCAACACTCTCTTCTGGCATCAGCAAGCTTTGTATGACATGGGTGCACTTACATGCATGCAAAACACTCATACATATAAAATAAAAATAAACAAACGAGCAGTAAATAACTCTTAGGAAGCCAAGTCCTATCCCAATGTCTTAATAGCTCTTAGGGAAAATTTTAGATATCAGAGACTTAAGAACTGGTGTTCACAGTTAAAGAAATGGGTTATCAGCAGCTGCAAAACATAACAGTTCTAAAACTTGCTTTAATGTATGACTTTGTTATTTGCTCCTTTGTCTCCTCTGAAGAGATTTAGGACATAGAACATTTGGTCAGCTCTCAGACATTTATCAAAATTCACTTCAGCAGAACTATCAGGTTCCTATAAAACATAACTCGGATTGCTGTGTAAATATTCCAACTTTCAAAAAGACTTTTTAAAGTGCATTATAAACATTAATACTTGAGTCAAATTATATGTTTTCATAGACTTAAAGGCTTTTAGACCAGCCTCAATCTTAAGAGTCTATGAAAGTCTGCTTTTAGCTTAATGGATGTAGATGCTTGCTAGTAGAGGTGTCTCTAAATACCCTGGATTTCAGAAACAAATTAGCAGGTTATTAGCTTTACAGATACTACATAGAAGGTTTTTTGTAGTGCTGGGGAAATGAATCCAGGGCCTCACACATGTGCTCTTATGTTGAGCTACCCCTCAGCCCAAGAGAAAAGTATTTCTAAGTTATCATATTTCCTAACATTGGTTCTTTTAAATAGGCGACTACTCTCCTGACCATGGACAAGTATGTATCTGATGACATTCCAAATATAAATAGCACCTGCTTTAAGTTAAATTCACTGCAGCTTCAAGCCTTATTACAAAATTACCACTGTGCACCCGATGAGCCTTTTATCCCTACGGTAAGTGAATATTACCATGTTACCCAAGGCGTGGGCATGTTGCACAGGAAAATTGGGATTAAAAGAGGTGGGGGAGGGAGACTTACTTAATTTGTCAATAAGTTAGCTTACTGAAAATTATCTTAGGGGATCATTTTGTGGCTAAAGCCACAGCGATACTTCAGATGTCGCATGTGAGTCTTAGGAGATCTTAGGAGTTTACTGTGCTGCTGATGTCTTAGACATTCAGTGCAGAGAGTAGAAACCGCACAGGAATTTGCATAGGAAGAGTTTAACTCGGGACACTACTTCTTGGGAAATCATTGGGAGAACTAGAGGAAAGGGAGCTGGGTTGGAGTGCCGCCCACCCTGTGTCTGAGCGCCAGATGGCCAAAACTGCAGCCTGAGCCACAGAGATACCTTTCAGTGTCACGTGTGCGCTCTTGCCATCAGCAACAGCATGAGTTTCCACTGCACAGCTGTGTCCTAGACTGTGTGCAGTGATGTCTGATTGGTAACATCCAGAGTCTCATCCAGAAAGGATAGTGGAGCCTTGACATACGATTACACACTGAAATAAGGAGTACAGGGTGAGAAGCCCACACACAATTTCTGTCACACTGTCTGTTTACATATAGAGATGTCCTGCTGATACTACTGTCTTAAATTTTTATTGATGTGACAAACACCCGAGAGAAACAGTTTGAAGGGGGAAAGATTTGGGCTCAGGTTTTCAGAGGTCTGGACTGTAATTAAGGCAGAAATGTTATGGAACAGAGCAGCCTACCTTCTGGCATCCAGGAAACAGAAAGTGTTGTGGAACTCTTGTCTTTGGGGCATGACATGGCATTGCATCTTAGAACAAGAGCAACTGATAACACCTTTTGGACCCTCAAGACCCTTAACAGGATTGGACCCACTGGCATTCCGTAGTGGAACGGAAGGGGTGGGAAGCAACACCAGACCTTTCGCCTCCCCAAGAATATCTGAGAAAGTAACAATTGCTGTGAGTTGGGAAAAGTCATCTTCAGTGGTATAGCTGCCTACAAGTTGCCCGTTCTCCTATTGCATAGCCCCTTACCTGTGCTCCTGTAAGAAACACCATTTAAATTCATTGGTTGACCAAGTGAGACTTGGTGAAGTCATTTCTTTAGTCAGTCCTTGCCCTCTCTATATGGAGGGAATAGATATAAACTCTGCAGGAAAAAGTATCCAGCAGACATGACGGGGTCATAACAAGATCTAATCTTCAAAGGTAGACCCCCACCAGCAACCACTTTTCCAACCAGGTCCCATTTTCCATAGTTCTACCACCTCACAGTACCCTATACAAATTTAAAATTCACCAGCAATTAATCCATTGATGAAGACAGAGTCTTCGTGGTGTAATTATTTTCCTGAAGCCTCACCTCTGATCACTGGGGGACCAAACTTTTAACACATGAGCATTTAGGGGGATGTACCATATCCAAAGCATAACATGTACCCTCAGAGCCAGTTGTGTCCTGAAGAATATGTAAGTTAATGAGTGGATGAAATTCAGTGTTGGACTTCATGTCAGTAAAAGATGCACAAAACAGCTAAACTCTGGAAATCATCCAATCAGTGCCAGTGCATCAACAAATCATGTCATAGTCACATGAAGGAACACTGTGCTGCAGTCAGGAGGAAAGAATTGTTGTTGCCTGCAACAACCTGGGTGACTGGTAATGCAGAGCAGCAATAACGAAAGAAACTAGTCTAAGTGTGTATCACGGCACCTAGCGGTTTGCATTTCAGAAAGACACAAAACTAATAGTGACAGTAGAAACCTGGGTAGCTGTTCTCTACAGAGAAAGGAGAAGATGGCAGCCAAGACCGGCGCTGCTTGTCGGGGGCTGTGGTTCTGTTCCTGCCTTGAAAGTGGTGACTGATCTGGGGTCTTCGTTTTACTGACCAGGCACTTAAGGCATGTTAGTTCTGTGTATGTGTCAGTAGCATATTCTTAAAAACAAATCATCCATAGCCCCTCCAATTCAGCGGCTCCTTCATCTATTAATACACTTTGAAATGTAAATAGTTTACCTTTTAAAAAAAATAATTGACCACAGGTAAGATTTTTCTCTATGGCACTGGACAATCTACAGAAATGATTATTAACAACTTAATAGCATTGCACTAAAGAATTGTGCAAAATAAACCAACCACTTTGGAAAAGAGAAGAACATCTTGTAATGAAACAAATTTAAGTAATCGTGAATTAATTGGTGTTTTGTTTAATCTTAAATAGTGTGTGCTTTATGAAGCCAGTTTCGTGTATTGTGTCGGCTGCATCTTGAGATGGCAGGTACAGCATCCCTGCATCCTGTCAGGGAGCCTCTCTTGGTGAGCCGGCATTTGTTTTCTGCAGGATCTCATAGAAAACGTGGTGGCTGTCGCTGAAAACACTGCTGACGAGCTTGCCCGCAGCGATGGGAGGGATGTGCAGCTGGAGGAGGACCCTGACCTGCAGCTGCCTTTTCTTCTGCCAGAAGATGGCTATTCCTGTGATGTCGTCAGAAACATTCCAAATGGTTTACAGGAATTCTTAGAACCTCTGTGCCAGAGAGGTAAATGCTCCTGCTCATGCCTGACTTGTAGCTGGCTTGAAGTAAACCTTCTGGCTATCTAATAGCAGGCACTCCAATGGGAATGTGCCAGGTCTCCTGAGGAAGCTTTGTTCCCATGACTCAAGTAGTGTTTCACTATGAAAAAGAATCCCACATGCCCGGACATGACCTGCGTGGGGTGTTGTGTGCCATGAGTGAGCACCTGCTCTTCCCACATGGGTCCATAACAAAGGGCCTTTGACTACACCTTTCTCCTGGCAGGGGAAAGCAGCACAGGCTCCCTGGATTCTGAGTAATCACAGCCCAGGCCATCAAGCTGTGCTACCATAGGAAGATCACCCCTTGCCTGGGTTCCTTTGTTTTATAAAGTAGACCAAGAAGTTGCTGTGAGAATCGGATAGGTTGTATGTAGGGGTGGGCTCTGTGCGTACCCAGTGTCCTGCAGCTTCTGGGGCCACTTCACCAGGTCCACTTGCATGCCAGTACCATCAGGCCAGCCACACCAAGCTCCAGTTCTCCGGCTGTTTAGATGACCTTTGGTACATTGTCTTGCTAGTCTGTATCAATTGAAAACACCACTGTATTTTCCTAAAGTAGGGGCTTTTTTAAAGAAGAAAGCAAAAAAAAAAAGAAAAAAACATTTAAAATTGTTATTATGTGTATGAGTATTTTGCCTGCATGTGAGTGTAACACATGTGTGCAGTGCCCACAGATGCCAGAAGAGGTCATTGGGTCCCCTGGAGCTGGAGTTATGGATGGAGTTAGCTGCCCTGTGGGTGCTGGAACTGGACTCAGGGCCTTTGCAAGAGCAGATAGTGCTCTGGACCACTAAGTCACGTCTCCAGCCCCCTAAAGTGTAGGCTTTTAAAGCAGACCAGATTTTAATTCCATCTGTTAACAGTTTAATGTGGAGAATAGCTGAAGAGAAACATAGATTCCAAGTACAGGTTCCTTCAGACAGCAAATAATGACGTGGGCAGACAGTGTACTGAGTGACAACGAGCTTCAGTGAGTGTTTCGCCCACCACAATAAATATCTTTAAACATCTTCAAAAGTATTGAAGATTTTGATAGTAGAAAATTCATTACTTTGAAAAACTGCTTCTTCCCTGGTTGTTTGCAAGACCGATTGTGCTGTGGCCCTGCTGTCATGCCTGCTGTGCTCAGAGAGGCAGAGATGAGACCACTTAGAAAACCCTGTGTGAAGGCTGAAGGGAAGGGAGCAGGTATAGGCAGGAAGAGCTGTCAGTCAAGGCACAGATCACACCCGTGACCCCATAGTGAAGTCCACAGTGGCTGCAATATGGTTTTGAACATTCCAGTAGGTGTCCTGCTTTAGTGGGAGAAGCCAAACCTGTGGAAGCATGGCCCCTGGCCACAGCCTAAGGAGCACAGACGACATACCTGACTGCTTGCTAGAGGGCTGCTTAAAGACATCTTTCTGTGTGTACATGTCAGGAGGTCATGTTGGAAGCCGTGTTCAAACATTAGGCACAGTGTCCCTCAGAGTGATTCCTTTGTGTTACCGACTTCTGTAGACATACTGTAGAACTGCCCTTGGGAGGAGCCATGTCTCCCGGGATACTTCCAGAGGCCTTTATCAACACTATGCATAAACTGGTAACTGGGGTGCTGGTTCATCACAGAGGGATGTGAGTACCACTGTGCCTCCCCAGTGAGAGTGTGAGTGCCCTGGCTGAGTTCCTGGATGTAGGGCTTGGCTGGGCTCCTCTGCTCCTATTCACACAGCACACGGGCCTGCTGCTTGCTAAGTACCCAGACACTCTTTAGTTAGTATCTTGTAAATAAGTAAACAGGAAGACCGATTTGCTAATATTTTGTAGATGTACGTAATCTGTAACATACAAGCAAATGCCAGTTGTTTTCATGTGTGCCATAGGTGTTTGTCGGCAATGGAAACAGTGAGGTTTTAGCTCAGTGAAGAGCTTCCTTCCTGTCCCCCCAGCCTCTCTTGATTGAGTGATCATAGGGCATGTAGGCTTTCATTCTGATCTTGGCATCTCTGCATTATTTCATACATGTTGGATGTTTACAGTTCAATCAGCCTAGCGCACTTTAAAAGACATAAAATGTTGGGTCGAGGGTTAGGGTGTGAGTGTCTGGTTCTTCATACTCTACTCTCTGTAAGCTGATTAAAGAACTGCTGTGGACTCTCAGTTCCTTTGTTTTTCATACGGTGCAGTTGTGTGAGAGAAGACTATAAAAGCAGCCTAGACTTAGGCCTGATGGTGATGTGTGCTCAAGCCAAGACAAATCAGTCTCTATTAGCAGTGTGATGCAGAGCTTGATAAAGACACCTGACATATATAAAAAAAATCATAATTTAAATTGCTGAAATTTCAGAATCTTCATAGATTTGTAATTCCCTTCATAGACTGAAAACAGACTGTGGTTACGTATCAGTGGGACTGGATTGAAACAGATTTTTTTTTAAGTAAAATTACTTTTTTTTTTTTTCTTTTTGAGACAGGGTCTCCCTGTAGCCCCAGCTGGCCTGGAACTCACTATGCAGACCAGGCTGGCCTTGAACTCACAGAGATCTGCCTGCCCCTGCCTCCCGAGTGCTGGGACCAAAGGCGTGCGCCACCACGCCCGACCTTATATTTAAAATTTTAACTATATCTTTGATACCTTCCCTCACCCACAAATAATCTGTCTTACATGTCTGAAAATGCCAATCCAAATTAGACTCCATCGATAAAACATGAGACCAGGGGAGACCCCAGCTGGGGCTGCGGCTCTGGTCACGCAGCACCCAGGCCTGGTGAGTCCTCAAGCAGGCTTGGCACAAGAGCAAGAGGAAGAGCGCCCAGAGAAGGCCTATGTGACAGGACTTCACAGAGTCCTGAAGAACACTGAATAAAACGTGACTAAATGAAACCTTCATATTATGAATCTGTTCTTTGCCCTTGATGAGGATAACATCAGGGATCCAACTAAGGCCTTTGCATGTGCTGGGCAAAGTGCTGGATACTGAGTTATAACCCCAGCCTCAGAAATATCCTTCGCAGGTTTGTTGGGGGCATGTCTGTAACCCCAGCACTCAGGAAACTAAGGCAGGAGGATCATGACTTTTAGGCCAGCCTGGGCTACGAAGTAAGTTCAAGGCCCTTGTCTCAGAAAAAAACAAAATATTTGTTAAGACATAAAATGATTCTGAAGTTTATTTGTCAGTAACTTAAATATGAACTTAGAAGAAAATTTGGAGAAAGTAACGAGAAAGGACTCTCCTAACCCCAGGGATGTACAAGTTGAGTTGTCAGTAGTGTAAGTCATTTAACCCGGTGTCCGATGTTGTGGGTCAGTAACCTATGTCTGTGCCGTTCTTTGGCTCCTGGTATCTTTCCTAAATGAAGATGTATGTCATTGATGCTCTTCCACTGTAGTGAGTAAATAGTTCTGCAGGGATGCATTTACAGGCCGTTCATTATTTTCTTGTAGAAGAAGAAAAACTTCTTTGGGATCCACAGGAGAGGGCATCCAGTTTCTCTTTTTTGTCGCTAAAATCCTACTGGATCAAAACAAACACATGATTTTTAAACATCTGATAATTCAGTTTTCAGAGGGAATAAAGGCATAGAAATATGAAAGAAAAATATGATCACTAAGATAATTAAACCTTCACTTGGGCATAGTGTTTGTTGTATGCTGGTAAAATCTCAACAGTTGGGAGGCTGAGGCAGGAGGATCAGTTCCAGGCCAGCCTTGGAATAGCAACAAAAACAATAACTTATCTCACTTCTCTTGTTAGAAATCTGTGTCTCAACGTATGTTTTTTCTGTTTTTTGATTTGCTGTTTCCTTCTTAGGATTTTGTAGGTTAATTCCTCACACACGGTCACCAGGTACTTGGACGATATATTTTGAAGGTGCAGATTATGAAAGTCACCTGATGCGTGAGAACACAGAACTGGCAAGTATTTTGAGGATTTGGGTGGACTGGAGCATGAAATACATTTCTAATGACTTAAAGATGATATAAATTGGTTCTTTGCTTACACTAAACATTGTTATGATAGGAAAAGTTTTAAATCATTTTCAAATACCAAGTTGATTCAGACATGTTAAAATCTTGGCTTATATAGATACGTATGTATTTTCCTCCCTGAGCTAGGGTCTGTATAGTTTTGTATAGTAATAAGGGATGTTTTCAAAATGAATATGTAGACTGGGCATGGCGGCTCATGCCTTTAATCTCAGCATTTGGAAGGCAGAGGCAGGCAGATCTCTGTGAGATCAAAGCCAGCCTGGTCTCCATAGTGAGCCCCAGCCAAACTGAAGACCCTGTCTCAAGAAAGCAAAGCAAAACAAACAAACAAAAATGAATACTTGGGGTCTTTTAAGAGTACTTGCTATTCTCTCAGAGGACCTGGGTTTGGTTTCCAGCACCTAGATGACAGCTAACAACTGTCCTTTACTCCAGTTCTAGGGGATCCGATCTGCTCTTATGCCCTCCGTGAGCATTGCATGCACATGGTGCATTTACAGTCACACAGGCAAAATAATCATACACATAAAATAAATAAAAATTAAAAGTGAATACTTATGTTCACAACTGTGGCAGTCTTAGTTTATATTTTTAAAGCTTATACTTTTGAAAGATTTTATTAGACAAATATTTTTCATTGGCAAAATATTTTATTACTAGTCATTTCTGCCTTTTATTAAATGTATATCATGTAATTGACTTTTGAAATAGTAAGTTTCATTCATTTTAAGAAAAAGTCTACTTCAAATGGAGAGTTAAAAGGATTTTTTTTTTAAAGGATATTGTTTTATATATTAAGTTCACAGTAATTATTTTGGCTTCACGGTATTCTTTAGATTTGAACATGTATCAGACTTCCACCAAAATTGAATTGTTGTTGTTACACTAAATATGTGGCCTCACTTAACCTAATAAAGGGAACACACCTCTGCTTTTATGGACCTTACTCTCTTTTCTTGGTGTTCAAAGTAACACCAACTTCTGATTACCTAATATTCTGGGAGTTTTTTGAATCATTGATTATCTGTCTTTCTGATTTATTATCATATTCCTCAGGAGACAGATTTCAGGTCTTGGTTTATAAAACAAAAGACTTGATGCCACATAATTTTATTTTCCCTGAAAAATTCTCTCCCAGGCTTTGATTATTTGCCTCCTAAATTAAAAGCTGTGTGTTTAATGACTGTGCTTTTGGCAACGTGTTGATTGGTGCTCTAAGCACGTGGAAGTGCTTCGTGTCATACAGTGAGCTTCTCTTCTCATCTTTAGGCCCAGCCTCTGAGGAAAGAACCTGAGATAATCACTGTGACCCTAAAAAAACAGAACGGAATGGGGCTCAGCATTGTTGCAGCAAAGGTAGGATAAAAGTCCTCCTCTCCCTGCCCTCTTCCTTCCCCTCCCTGAATGCCTGTCGGCCTGAGCCAGGAGTGGTGCAGGATTTTGCCACCTGCCTGCAGAGTACATACTCAGCTCTGCTTCTGGGGAGAGGAAGGTGCTGCCTGATGGTGGCCACTGTGCTCCTGACTTTGCTGAGGATGGAGCTCCTTTTCTGAGACTGTGGCTGGGGTGAATGGTTCCTTGAGATAGGACAGATAGTCCCTGAGGAAGCAGTTTTAAAGCACAGTCAAGACTTGATGGGCACAAAAGAAAAAAGCACTGCCTGTCCCTTTGTCACAGCGGTAATGAGCCCTCCTCAGTCTTCAGTGTATGATGGTCACTGGGACCTGATAGCATGGGCATGAATCTAGCCTCCAGGTGCATGTACCTCAGAGGTGTCGACTGTTGTCTTGGCATCTGAGTTGCTTCGTCTGCCAGTCTGTAACAAGAAATAATACCACACAGATCCTTTGTTTTCAGTTAAGGGAGATAATTGGTGTGACTTTGGGAATAGTTATAAAAACACCTTCAATCGTATGGGTACTGAAGAATGCTTATTCCAAACTAGTGTTTGGAATTGTAGGTACATCAGTGAACAAACACGATTTTTCTTTTTCTATTTTTTTTTTTTTTTTTTTTTTTTTTTTTAAAAAAAAAAAAAAAAAAAAAAAAAAAAAGAGGACGATAAATCTTTCACTGTGATATATCAAAATAA